GTGGTCAATACCACAACTGCAAACCTCACTTGGGGGCCGGGAAGTTCCCCAGCATACAGAGCCACGAAACGGGGGACTTCTTAAGACATAAAGGTATTCCCTGCTGCAAGGCACTGCTCCGGCTCTGCAGGGGTAGCCTTGTTAGCACKCGCGCCCAGCTAGTCCCACGTGGGTGCTCTGGGGCTGCCCACTGCTCTGCRTGGCTGAGCTGCAGGTGTAGGCAAGGCTGAACATCCATTTGCTGTTTTCTCCACTTCCAGCATTTCTGCAAAATGTCCAACTTTCATCTCTGACAAACATCAATAACTGGCTGAAGTGGATTCTTCAGATACAGTGTAAATTTAGGGCCATATTATTCCACCACAGCTCCTAAAGCATCTCAACTGYGCTCAAGTGCAATTTAACAAGAGCTACTTTTTTTTCCCCTAAACTCATGGGCCATCCATTTCTTTTCTTGATTCTTTTTATAGCATAATACATATTAATAAATTATAACAGGCATGTCGCGTTATATTAAGAGAAATTAAGAATGTATACAGAAGCATATGCTTTTGTATCCAAACGTTAATCAATACAGGTCAGAGCACGCTTCCTCTGCTAGACTGAATACTGCTCATTTCAGAGCTTCCAACACTTCCATCAAATGCATTTAAAGAGAGGTTATTAGCAAAGCCTAGACATGCTTCTGATTCAGGATATTCAGTCTTCTGTTCCTCGGGCAACTGAAGCCACACTCCAAAATATCTCAGGATTCCTTTTTCCCCCCGCCAAACAGAGAGTATTATTATAGATACTTAAAAGAAAATCAGGAGACGGTTAACACGGTTCCCTACACAGGTTATGGTTTCACTGCGCACAGATACTAATTGCAGGGGATGCTTCCTGCTCCTAACTAAATCCCCAGGCATTTTAACGTACCTTTTCTAGATGACCATCMCAGTGCTTTGCCCCCGGATCGTGCTTCAGTAAGAACCTGCTGTTGCGTTTTGAGAGCTCTCTACGAGCAAACAAATGAGCTCTTTTCCCAGGGAGGCGGCCACCCCAACYGCAGTTTCAGGGCATGCCAGCATAGCCATGGGGCAGCGGTGGGTGCAACATCCTCAGCCCCTTTCTCTTGCCACTGTGACTATGCCCAGGTCTCTTGTAGGGCTTCAGCTGCCAGCATGAAACAGTAAGAACTTGAAACCGGAGATGCACTTTGAGCTAGGACCATGCTGAGAGACAAAACAAGGGGATTTCATGTGTACTTCCTGTGGGGAGAAACGTCCCAAGTCAAAATCCCACCGACAGGATTTAATTCGAATTGATGGAAAGTTCGAAAAAATGACAGAGGGGAAGGTCGAGCAAGAGCCTTGCCCTGAGAGAAAAGAGTTTCTGACAGAACTGGAATGAAAACACAAATATAGTGCTGAGCATTTCAAGCATTGCAAATGCTCGAATAACGTTACTGATAGTGTCAGAACAACATGACAAAATCTTTGAGCCTGGATACAGAGGAGAAGCAAACAGAGAAATAAYGGCCCCTTCTGTGGTCATTACTCCATAGACCAGTGTTCTGGCAGAAAGCAGATCCTCCAAAGAGCTGCACAACTTCCAGACATGATCAGCGAGGGAAATAATGATCCCATCTCATGTCCTTGTGCAGCAGGAGATGATACGGTGGGAAACAGCAAGATCTAGAGGGGAGAAGGGGCTCGGGGGGGGGAATAGCTGTGTGCTCACATGAATGACATGAGCTGCATTTCCATTTGCTGCAAGTTGTCTTGTRCAAAACCGGAGCTGATTCCAAGCACAGCTCAATGCTGCAAACGCGGTCAGTAGAACACGACAGAACTATTTCTAAGTGCACACATAAAGGGCTGCCAAACTGAGCATTAAAGATGTGTGCACTTCCCTCGTCAGCAAATAGGTCAGTGATCACCACTTGCTCTGCTTTTTAATAAAGGGATTTGAGAATATTCCCTGATCTTGTAAGAAATACAGATTTTCATTATTCTTTYGTGAGCTAGAATGACTGCATTATACCACCTGGAAAARAAAAAAATAAAAATGGCACTTTAGCTTGTCCCTTTTTTTCAGTTGCTTCCTAGTGATATATAACTTTAAGTTACAGTAGAGAAAAAGAGGAATAGATGCCACACTATATCTTTTTTTACTGATTTTTGAAAATGAAACTCCAGGTTTCTGTGAAAACACTCATAGTGCCTTATGTTGTTAAATTCTTCAAGGTAATCTGGCTTGCTTCATATCTCCAGGCAATGGTAAGCAGTGGAGAAACTGCCAAAGCCTTGATCCTTCAGTCCTCTGGATCCCCTTTGCCTCCCAGCCTCCAAAGCCCGAGGATCCACAAGTCCATCACAACATGCTCYGTGCAGGGACCCTGGAGCTACGAAACCTAACAGGCTTTACAGAAAGGGCTCTGCAAACCTTAAAATCCCCAGGCACACATGGAACGAGCTGGTAGCAAAACCAGCACAAACCTGATGAGCAGCTTACCTGTGTTCCATCAGAAATTTGTGAAAACGGAGACCCACTCAGAAAACATCAAGAAATGGTCATTTTTCTCCCATAGAAACCCAGATCATGGAAAATTACCGGCTTGCTTTAAAGTCACAATCTGCCACCAAGCAGACATCTAGTCACAGGCTGGAAAAGGGACTTTCATCTCTGCAGGTCATTTAGCAGCTTCCAGAGCTCCAGCCATGGAGACCACTCAGCTCCCAGATGACTCCCATTAATCTAATGGATCCCAGGGAGAAAGGGAAGGAAGAGGCAGCTACCTGTTACCTTTTGCTCCAGGCTGCGTTTGATAACACAAAAAGACAAAGCTTAGGAAAGACAGGGCAGCTTGTGTGCAGCCTAGCAGTCGCTACATCTGGTAATGCATGCAGATTTAATGCAGGTCAAGAGCCCTGCTGTGACACTTAACATCCAGTATTGTTCCTGGGTTTCTATTTAATGTGAATAACAGTCCCATGTTAGCTTTTTTTCAAGTGTTCTTAGGAAAGAATACACCATTTTACTGTACTTCAAATATACCGTGGATGCTGCTGGGAAGCAATTTAACTGAATTAGTTTATGCAGCAGCACTTACGTTTCATGAAATAGTACTACATATTGAATCTCTTGTTTTATGCCAGGTAGACTCTTTCTAATGGAAACGCTCTCTAGAGAATAAATATTATTATATCAGCCCCAAATTAGGTTGATTTTTTAAAAACTCTTAGTAAAGAACCACCTTGCATGGTGGCTCTCACAGTTACCATTGCAGMGTATGCACCCAGCAAAACTCTAAGCATCCAGCAAGATGAGTTCTGAGGGTCACACACATATAAGAATGAAGCAAAGCCACGGGAAGATGTATTTTCCTTTTCTTCCCTAAAAGCTGAAAAAGCACAGATTTGTTTACCCCGAAGAAGCTAAAAAGACTATCAGTGCAGTTACCAAAGTGCTGCTGTCCTGTGCCCTGAGGTCAGCATCTCCTCTTGTTGTGGAGCTGGCTGAAAGCTCTGTAACTACAGAGCTCCACAGTTAGGAAAATGAGAGTCTTCCTGTGAACTTTAATGAGCTGTGAGTCAGGCTAATCTCGCACAGGAGCAGGACGGGAGYCTCAAGGTGGGAACGTGTCCCAAAATGTTTGGGACAAGTCATTTACTTGCTTAGTAGTAGAACCTGTTAAATAAGGGGAAGTCAAGGAAAAGTGCCAAGAACAACCCTTTTATGACATTAGCTTCTTTGCTTTAATGCTGCGTATTTTAATGCTAGGTAGAACAGATGGCAAAATATAATCTCTCCACTGAGAACTAAATGATAGACACTAGCTGTAGGGGACACTGAAGTATTAAAGTGAAGGAAATGKACAAATAATGAAGGAACATTTTGTCCAACTTGCTTTTGATGAGGCACAAAATAAAACGTAAATAATTTCTATTAGAAGGAAATGAACACAACAACTTTGGCATTTGCAATCAGTGTGAGTTTGTATTATGTAACCTGGATTTGCAATTGAAGGAGAGCAATACCATTTACCTGGATTTGAAGTACGAATTACAGCAAGTAAGTAATAAAACACAAAACCAATACCAAAAACATGACTGCTAATAAGGAGATGTGATTAGTCTCAACTTGCATAGGCAATAGAGAAAAAAACAAAASAGAGGAAATGTTGTTTAGCTGTATATGAACAAACAAGTTCTATTAACTTGGGCTTGCAGTGAAGATAAGTGTCAATATTACTAATGCAGCTTTGCACTTAAGTTGGTGTCAACAGAGCTTAGAAGAGGAGCTCATAATTAGGACAACGCAATTGTTGTACTGAATTTTCAGTACAGATCATGTCCAGGGTTTAGTTTGGATCTGTAAAATTTATCTCTGTGCTCTATATAAGACCACACAATTATCAGCTTGCAAGTATTTTAGAGCTAAGAGATTTCTTTATATAATATACTGCTTTTTATGCAATCATATAGTCATACAAATGATCAGCTGGATGTAGGACTCTCAGAAACGTGCCTAACACTAAAAATTGAAATTCTGAGTTTCTTTGCAAAGCACTACTAAGGATTTAAATATTTTACATTCAGAAAAATTTATTGCTTCAGCCAAGACTCTACGTGTTCCTGCTCCAAGTATTGGTTTATTAGAATTACTAGTTTTAGTTAATTAGTAGTTAAATCCCTACTAATGACCTCACAAATCATTTCCATATCCATTTATTGTGAATACCCTTGATGTTTTTAGTGAACATGATCAACAGGGTACTTAAATAGACATAAATTGCTTGCTTAATCAGCCTTATGCACATTAAAATAGAAAAACAACAATGTTATACAGAAAACCAATAATGAGAAGTTCTTTTTTTTTTATAAGTCAGTTTAGAACATGACCGTGCACTTTCTTGCACTTATTTTCTGATATAAATACAAGGCCAAAACATCAGAACAGCCCTCAATGATAGGGGAGAAAGAATACTTAAGAAAAAAAAACAAACCAAAATACCTTCATGTGTTATTTCCATGTTTCCTTGCAATGGACAAAATATTTATAATGAATAAGAGAATGTAATAAACAGAATTCTCTTTCTTACCTTCACCTCCTCCTCCTTTTTCTTCATCTTCAACTGCACTGGGAATTGAAGATTTCTCAGCTTCTGTTGTGTCTTTTTGGTTCAAGACTGGCTCTGAACAGATTTAATGAAAACAGAAACCCAATGGTTAGGTCCTTCAGAACTGACATGGTATAGAATGACTAGTATATGCTACAGAGATTACCAGTATAAACACTGGCAGAGGAAAAGGACCCTATCCCCCAGAAGTACCAACACCAAAACCATCTGTGGGAAATCCAAAGGGTTATGGTTGAGTGCAAGGCCCTGATCCTTTGAGAAGTTGAGCTTTCTAACTTTAGCACAAAAAATATGTGCTGAGCTCGAAGCTAGGGACCTTCTATGAGACTAGTCACAAGCCCAAAGATACATTTCCCAAGTGTTTGCCTTTGCATCAGCTCGAGCATTCAGTGCACCTCGTGTTCAAGGCTCGAGTGCTTATCCTCACGAATAAGAGTGTCCACTTTTATTTTTAACAGGGCAAATGCCTAAAGATATTCCTTCCTTTCTTCCTTTGCTTCTTTCACTCTTTCTTTCTCAGGCATTAAACTAAATTTCACCACTTGAGCTGAGGATCTACAGCTACCATAAAAAGACTGAGCTCCACAGATTTGGCTTACTCTATACGAAGAAACAAAGGAAACTTAAACACTGCTGCTGGTGACTGAGCAGATACAGGTGCTTTTCCCTCTAGTAATCTTGCTCATTGGTTTCACAGCACCATCAGTACCTTCTGCTTCCATGCTTTGGGGATCTGTCCCAGTTTTCATCCCCTCTTGTGCAGAAACATCCTCTTGTCCTAGTAACACGACAGATTGGAAATGGTATCAGTATGATGGCTGTGCACACGTGGCAAAGGCAAGTTTATCAAAACAGGACACAAACCCAACATATATCATAATACTTTTCAGCCCAATACTGTGTTTTCTTTCCTATTAACTGAACAACATTAAATCAATTTATACATGCCACTTAATAAACAACAAGCACGTTGAATGGTTGGTCTAAACCGACCCTGACTTGCTTTTTATTGAGACTCAGCCTTGGCACATTGTTCCTCACAGGTGATATTGCAAACTGCCTGCGCTTGACAGCTTATCAGAAGAATGGAATTACCCCACAGGCTTTTAGGAGCAAAACACAAAACAAAACAGAACAAAACAGTAATAATAATGCTATGCACTGACTCAGGATCAATATGATTAAACCCGAGTATTTGGAGACTACTGCACCAAGAGTGTTTGGTGCCCAGCCTCTTCCAGCTGCAGGCATATTCCTAAGGCAGCAGAGGTCAGGGGGAAGACCRCTGAAGGCTTCAGCTGGAAGAACTAAGGTTCCCAACTGGAGTGTGATTTGTGCCGTAAGGAATTTCAACAGAAAGCTTCACCTTTGGCTTGATCTTGCTCACATGCCACAGGGTGCACGAGGTTGTCCTCTGAGGCACCTTTGGGGTCTTTCAGGGAGTCTGAGGAAACAGCAAACAGGCATATGGAAAAATATGGGAGTGATTTTCATGCCAGGCTGGTAGCTGCCTCAGATGCAGGTAGCCCTGCCACGCTAGATTCGTATTTGGCATTCCTATGCTCCTGTCTGTTCGACCTAGAATCAGACACTATTAAAATACACTCATGGGTTTAAACTATTCAACTGGATTGCGGAATCTGCATCCTGAGGGAACAGATTTTGCTCAGCAGCTGGCAAGAGAGAGTAGCTAAGAAAAACAACGTATGACCAGGTTATGACCAAGAATTTTATTTCTAACGACTGGAGTAGCACAAAGCTAAGGCAAACAACATGAACGATGCATTTGACATATTAAGATATGTTTTAGAACAGTGCTAGCACTTTGTGCAGTTGGATTTCCACCTGCTTGACAAATATTAAGTCCCATAAAACTCAGCACAACCCATCATGTCACTTCATTCAATGACAGAACTGCCCAGGTCATTATTGTGGCAAAGACTTTTTGCTTTGGGGGAGACTAGCAATGAGCTGCCCAAAGCCAAACCTTCAACCAGGGGCACAGTGAGGTCTAGATGGGTTTAACTCCTGTCTCTGCACTATCCGTGGTCTTCCCAAGCTTCATTGGTCATTATTTGTAACATCAAATAGTGTTTTCTGACACAAGGCTTAGTTTAACTTAGTCTAACTTAGTCTTTGGTGATGGAGAGGTCTGTTATTCCACTACAACCAGGAAGCAAATGAGCTACACTTCTTTTTTATTTTTTTAAGTTCTGTTTTTTGGCATAACACACAGTTTTTGCAGGAGATAGAGCTCTGTCCGACCCTTATTAAAAAAAGGCCACTGATCTAAATAGCTGCACATTTCTGCAAACTTAAGGGATAAGTGAACTAATGACAGTAAAYAATCATTATTTATAGGTCAGAGCAGAACACTTTCTAACGTGCTGCGAGCAGAAAAACTCAGCTAACACAAGAGATTTACGGTGCCTGTTAATAAATTACATTATAACAGTGATATTAAAACTCTACCTCCAGAAAGTCCTTTTCTGTAATACAGAAAAGCAGAACAAATCTTCCAATATACCATAAGATGTCCTGGAAGAACTCCGTTTCTGAAACTTGCCAATAATAATCTCTGATGGGTAAGTGGAAAAGCTGGGAAAGCTGGGATGTTAACATCTGATCCAGATTTAATAATCTGTAGAACAGGTATGCACTGGAAGTGTGTGGCTTTAATTAACTGCAAATAATCCCCCAAGGCAAATATTTAATTACCTGCACAGCTTCTTACTCTTTTCATTGCATGACAAGAAGTTTATAAATCCAAGTTTGAAGGCAGAATATCTCAGGGATGTGCCATTTGCTGGAATTTGCCAATGCTGCACTCTYTTCACTCTCCTGTGGACTTAAAAGGCTGCTCACTGCCGTCGACTGGGCTGCTGTGCTGCCCTTTCATACCTGCATGCCACCCTGTGCTATGAGTTGCAAGGGGTTACCCTGTCAAGCTGAACCAGAGCTAAAATAAATTAGAATTTCATCAAATTGCAAGTCGAATCAGAATCTGACTTGAAGGACTTTTTGCTATAAATGGGAATGGCAGAAATTTGCCCGTGTCCCCAAAAAACCTGGATCCCCTTGCATGAAATTCCAGCTATGACAGAGCTTTCAGGCTGTCAAGCAAGCCAGGAGTCGCACCACATCTAGCCCCATATTCTGACTTACTGTAATTTTCCTGTGTATGATTTAGTTGCACATCTGTGCACAGACAGTGCTGGACTGGGGACACTTTTTAAAGCACTAGGCTGACTGTGGGCCTCCACAAAGCCAAGAGCAGTAACACGGGGCACTCTGCCCTGATTTGGGTGGGAGAAGCTCCTCCATCCCGACCCGTAGGGCTATTGAGCAGCACTTTCTACTTTCAGACTCTAATTTCAGCTCATGGGTGCCACCTTTTCTCCCAGCATGAGGAATGACTCCAATTTCACGCAAAAAAAAATCAATCCACGGTAACAGAACAACAATTACACGCTTTGGTCAATAACAAAAAATGGACTTTGAGAGCCTCGTGCGTGGCGGATGCAAGTAGGTGCCCCATCAAGATGCTGGTTTTCATTAAGTATCAAATAGCTTGTGGCAAACCACAGTCACCCCGCGCTCCGGGAGCTTCTCCCTGGTGCTGCTTCCGTGCTATGCCCACCCTTGGGACACAGCTGCACGTGTGACCTCCCCAACCAGCCYGGGCAGCAGCATTAGGCACCACAGCTCGAGGCCACCTGTGCTATTTGGCAGAGCTTCAGACATCACCCCAAAGAGCCGCACGTGGGATATTCTTAGGGGACTGTATTAAACTTCCAACTTTGGTCCTGGACACGGCTTGCTAATTGTTTCAGGGCTCCAGCAAGCCATTTACTTCCATGGGATGCAAAACTATTCCAGACGATATACAAAGGAATCCTGCACCAGTTATTAAAAAAAAAGAAAAAAAAAAAAAAGAAAAGTGTTTCTGAGAAGAGAAAAACACGGGTAAGAATTATTGCCTAACTGCAACAGTCTGCAGGGCTCATTTTGGCAGCGGAGATCAGTCACTGCATTAGCATGCAGATTTGGTGCTCCAAAATCTTTAAGGTCAAGACCATATCAAAGATTTCTTCTTTTCAAATGCAAATATTAGATCAAATATTCAAGCCAAAAGGTCCAAAGGCAGATTTACTTTGAGGATTAACAAAGGTAAAATAAAGCAAAGGAATAAACCCAGATTTATGAAGAAAATCTGAGGCAGGCAAGAGTAAAAATGTGAGACTAAATGCCCCGGCCAATAAAAGCTGCTCTCAAATTGCACTCAGGGTAAGAGAGTCCACCTCACTGGCCAAGCAGCAGTGGGTATCCCACACCTGCAGGTTATGAATGGCCTTCTGCTTGTAGGTATGCAAAGCAGGGCAGTGGTAGCACAGCCCTAAATGATCCCAGGGCCTACAGAGGCTCTGGACATCCCTGAAGCCTTCATCCATTGCTAATGGAGCAGTGAACCCACCTCCATTTTTTAATGTCATAAAACAGTATTAAAACTCCTCTAACATAGACATTTATCTGCCAAGCTGCACTGGAGAACCCAAGTCAGGGTATTATTTCAAAACACTGGGTCTTACCTCTGATAACACATGCTGGGCACCATTTACCTGGGATAACCCCAAATTGGGACAGTAAGGATTAGTATAGAACAGAAAAAAGAAAAAAAAAAATCAGTATTTCTCATACTACCCTGCAACACAGTCCCTACCGTCACCAATGATCACGCACGACCAAGCCCAACATGACATTTAATGACACAAACGAGCCCAAGTCAGATCACTTGTCTACACGCATGGGGTGCCGGGGCGCTTGCTCCCATCCAAGCGTCTCACCCCTGTGGCTGCTCAAGACTGCTTTTCTGTGGCAATATCCATGCAGCAGCAATATCCATGTCCCAGCAGAACACACCTGGGAATTAAGCCCAGCTTTTAAAAATCCCAGGAGAAAACAGCTTGCCTTCAAGTCAGCAGGACAGCGTACTCCTCAGCGCGTCGGTCACTTTTCCATTTATCAACCACCTGTTGAATTCAGCTCCAGGAAAACTGTGTTGCCTGCAATAAGTTATCAATCCCACACTCCTGACAAGGATCAGACACTGTTTTGCCCAAATACCGCATAAAAGCTCATCCCTTATTGTGTCATTCATACTTCTCCTTTTTGACTGCATGAAACAGCATCGCTCAAACAAAATTCTGCAAATCCTTAGGAAGAGGAGAAATGGTAAGATCTGAATGTTAAGTGGTTTTAATGATCTTTAAAAATTCACTTCCCCAGCTTGTCTCTGTGTGGCTTATTTACTGAGTCGTTTCTAATGTGCAACACACCTGGGTCCCACACGCGGCATAGATAAATCACTATGTTTTAGGGAGCTGTAAGAAGATTAAAGAGGGAAAAGGATGGCCATTATGAAGGAAAAGGGTTCAATGCATTTTATTTTTGAGGCATGATACTGTGAAAAATGACTGGAATATTTCCAGAGTGAAAGAAATCAAGCAGGCGTCTAAAATTACAGGTAATGGTGTGCACAGAGGCTGCCACATGATTAGGGTATTCTTTTGCCTCATAAACTGAGGAAAATGTGTTAAAATGAAGTGCTATAAAATGGTGATTTATGAGAAGTTAGGGAGATATTCTTGAGCTTTGACTTTAAAATGTTATTTTTATATCCACCAAGATTTCATTTTAATCTGCCTTTATGATGGATTAGATTTATTTGAGCCCAAGTTTATATGGCGTGGTAAAACAGACCTTGTTAGGCAGAACAACCTGTGGGGAGGTTTGTACAAGGGTTCAGAAAACAGACCTGAAGGCCCTTCTATACAGGGGGGTCTAGCAGGTGATGATCTCGCTTGCTGGCTCCTCTAGCTGTGTCTTCTCCAGCCTCACCTCCGGGATGGGTCTGGATGCAGGCTCCCAACTCATGCCCAGGATAGGTCTAGACCCAGGCTCGAGTCTCCCCTCCAGGCTGGGTCTGCATTTAGGCTCCAGCCTCACCTCCAGGATGGGTCTGGACCCTGATTCCAACCTCACCAGACTCCAGGATGGGTCTGGACCGAAGTTCCAGCCTCTCCTCTAGGCTGAGTCGTCACCTGTGCTCCAGCCTCACCTCTAGGCTGAGTCTGCACCCAGGCTGGATGCACAAGACCATAGACCAGTCAGATTTAAAGGAAAAGTGAATAATGAGCATTATCCAAAGCTAAAACTGACTGTTATGAAGGGTATTAGCTGAAAGGCCTGGCTGGGGATGGTTATTTACCCCCTTTTAAGAAACTTAACCATGCCATTTAGGTTGTGTTAGTCAATTTGCTTTGATAGAAGTCATTGGGCCCAAGGAAGAGAAATGTTTTCAGTGTAGCCACAGCTATAGTTGGGGGTGCTGAAACTCTTCCATTACACAGGTCCTTTTACAGGTACCTATAATTGAGATTTTTCAGGCTGAAATTTTCCAGGCCTAAWCATAGCCCCAGGGTGAAGCGAAAACATTTCACTGGTAGTTGCTGCGTGTTCAGCACTTCTGAAAATCAGGTCATTCATTTGGATGTCTTAATATATACTTAAGAGCTGATTTTAAACACCTCTTTTTGAATATACTGGCATTTCAGACAATCTTTTTCACCCACYAATGCCCATTTCAATGTCTAATTTATGTTAATTTATACAGCTCCTCCAAATTTGAAAAGTTAGATCTTTGATTTTATCCTTTCTCACATGTTTTTGTCTTCAGGACATCAAGATTTTTTCCATGGTAAAAACCACAGCTGCCCAAACAGGAATGTTAAGATCCATTACATTTTACAGGCAAGATCCATACAGGTTTCTGCACTACAAACAGTGAGTTTTCAGAGCTAAACTCTAGCCAAGACATATCCCTAACTGTTTCTGACAACATAAACCCTCCAGCTAACTGCATCTGACTCCATTTCAGAGAATGTGACTTGCTTTAAACAGCACTCCCAAGGGAACACAGACTTTGGTGAACACCTGGAAATAATTAATGGGGGCTTTATTTTAAAAATTAATTAGCATACGATTTAATTTAGTTGACCTTCAAATGAAAATTCATCTCTTATTAAGCGCTAATGAATTTAAATCAGTGTATTGTGAACAGAAACTTTCCCATGCTTACATAACATGTAGTTCACTCTTCAGCTGTACTGAATCCACAGTTTCTTTTTTTCTCTTTTTTTTTTTCCCTGCCACAAAGACCCGTCATTAAGTCAGGTTGAAGTGTAATTGGTAGGACAGGTAGCTGGGCTGGAGGTGCAGAATGCTCTCCCACATGCACACTCTCTTGTTAAAACCACAGGTTCAAACCTATCCTCGTTTGTCATCATTACCACACAAGGGTATACCCTATATAAATATACTTACATACTATACTTAAAACGAGTTGGTAGTCCCAGCATAACCTTGCGTGGACAAGCCGGTGAGACTGCAGCCTGATATGTCTTTTATCTATTTAATCTTCATTAATGACTTTAATCACTTTGTTCTGTCCTTACCCTTCACARAGAGCAGCAGCCCTACCTTGAAATACGCTGAGCTTAAAGGTCCTACTTCCATATGCACAGTAATGAAGCACGGCAAAGGCGCTGCCTAGAGATGCCAGCTCTCCCCCAGCAGCTAATAGAAATGCGTGCAAGTTTTCAAGGGTAAAACTTCACCGTTTCTCTGTGGTATTTCCAGACAGAGGAAATAGAAACTTGGCAGACTTGAATAGAAGGATTCCTCTGTAGCATATCATTAAACATATTGAGGTTCTTGTAAGATGACTGTCCCGCGCTCCTTCTGAGGAAAGACAGAGCACCCCCAAAACACCATCTGTTCAAAGAGAAAGAGTACTTGCAAATAGGGACCATATGAACTGTCTTTTTTTAATTTTTCTGTCTTTTTTTTTTATTTTTCCTCTGAGCAGAGTTACTGTCTCTTCCAGGATGAATAAAGGAAGAGGTGTACTTTAACAGTAATAGAGGAAATGTAGCCTAGCCTAGGTAGGTTCTCGTTTTAATCAAAGCCCCTCAAAATGTTATTCCTCCACTGTTTACCAACACACTTCTTAAGAACAATCCTTTTATGTTCTCCTCCTCCTCCTTCTTGAAAATTGTGAACTTTCTCCACCCCACACACACAAAACAAAATTCCTCATAAATTCCTCATAATTCCTAGGTAAGAAAAAATACATGAACTTCCTAACAGCAGTGATGTATGTGCATCAAACCCCTTGGACTAGTAGGAAATAATACTTGAATAAATTCTCAGGAATGTTTAAGTTCTTTCCTGACTAGAAAGCTTTTCTGTAATTAGAAAAAGGCTTGTCAYATAAACTAAATGCTCAGTGTCCATTAAAGACCCTAAAGAAATGGGTTGAGCTGTACTGCTGTTGGACATTTATAATCCCATTTATGACAGTCTGCAATGGGCAATGTTCATAAAGAGCTACGCCAAGCAACAGCACGACCTTCCAAGTGAGAGCAGTATCTGGTTAGAATATCACCTTTCCTCAGAAGTAAACATAAATATTTCCATGTGTTYACTGTTTTCCGACACAAGGAATAGGTGAAAGAATAGGCAGAAAAATTACTAGTGGATACTAATTGGAGACAAAATACCAGTTCCAGTGCACCCATCAGAACTGGTGTTTGAAAGATTGTGATAGCTCCATAGTAGGCTTGGAAACCTCATATTTCAAGTGGTTTAAACTATTCGGTTCGGTAGCATGTAGCCTAGACGTATTTGCCAAGAAATTCCTTTCACAGTAAGTAGGTGAAGGGACTGGAGAGATGCAATTTCTTTAAATACCTTACATCCAGTTCATTTAGTTGAAGATAAACTACAGACATGAGTATGTTCCAGAAGCTGGCAGGTTTTAGCTGCGTTAGCTCGGTGGGCAAACAATTTGAAGACTGAAATTTGTTTTTGGAGCAGCAGGTGTTTTCAGAAATGCCAGGATTTTGTAAAAGTGCCATCTCTGAAAAGGTAGCAAGTTTTTTTCTAACACTAGTGCTCATTTTAAAGCAACTCAAAATCTAAAACATGAAAATATACTTATAGAAGCACGGATGAAAAGACAAGTCTTTCAAAATTTTTGTTCATATTTGAAAAACTCATAAACAAATCCCTGAGCATGCTAAATATCACACGCCTCCATCATTCCTTTAGTACCAGTATTACTTCCCAAACCAAATATGTGGAGGAGAGTCTGTCTTGCTCTTTTTTCCTTACTAGATGCTTTCTGTCATGTTTTTGAGGAAGGAAAGGACACCAAAGAGTAACTAACCTGCTAGAATAAAGGACTTTAGGCAATACCTCTCCTTCTGCAACCATTCAAGAGAAGAGGGAAAAACACTGTTCTCTTAGCACATTATAGGAACGATGAGGAATGTAACAGAAAGGCAGCTACTTGGATAGATGTGTCAGGAAAAATGGAATGGTCACACACTGAGATGCTTGATGCTGTCACCTCATAATATAAGGGGAGACATAGAGTTCACAGTCAGGAACAAGAATGACAAGAACACAAAGCAATACCAAAATGTTGGGATCTTCAGCAACAATGCAGATAGAGGAAAAAAAAAATCCAAAGCCCCAAATCTGCCATGAGCCACATATTACAAAAGACAAAAAAAAACATCCAAGGGGTGATCATACAGACACAGAACTCACAGACAGGCACAAACATCAGGAGAAAGGCGGATGATGGAATGATGGACAGGTAATCAACAGCTACACTAGGGCTGCATCTATCACTACTTCTGCCTTCTGCCTTGCTACAAGCCTAATCTGTGAAGATCTGAATAGCAAAAACCAGTGCCCTGGCAAGGGTTTGTGGCTTTTCTTTTTTCCCCGCAGTATGACTCAGTCAGCCGGGAGAGCATTTAACTCAACCTGCACTTTGAGGCTTTGAACTCATATYGAGGTAAGAATGTGGGTGCTCTGGCCTGTTCCTTCGGAAGCCAAGGACAAGCTCTCACACCCCACCACACTGCTCTAGAAAAATGAGAAGAGAGCCAGGCAGTGACACTGAATTAAACATTCGGTCTTTTAAAATAAATAAGCTAATGGATGTTCATAATTATGTTATCTCAGGAAAATGCACTAAAATTTTCTATTAGTCTTTCTCGAAGGCTGTTCTGAGGGGCTATATTTATTATAGATGGCCTAACTCCTGTTTTGAATTACCAGTAGCAAACATTTTATAAATCACACAGGCTCTTTCTTGACATATCGCCACAAAAATGCCAAAAAATGTAGACCAGCACAAGCAATTAATGGTGTGATATCATAAGAGTATCAAAAGGGGTACGGCTGTGCACCGGTTCCTATCTGTAAACCACCAGCTCCGCAGGAAAAAGCTCAGCTTGAAACATTTAAATTAGATCATTCCTCTTTCTTGTTTCCTAAACTCCCTGTCATTTGGCCCCATGACATTTTTAAATATTTATCACAAACTAAATGATCTGAGTGCCCGGCACAGTCCACACAAGATAAACATTGATTTCTCCCTCTCTGTTATGACTTCATCTCCTTCTGTCTCCTCCTGAAGTGTTTATAGTGATTGTCTTTTCCTTTTTTCCCATTGGGAGAGCAGTGAGGAGGGAGCTAATACTGCTGAGGTAGATGGGTATGCTTCACTTTATGCATTTGAGTCATCCTATTGAGCCTAAGCTTGAGGCTCATTTTTGGCATGTCATGTATGATATTTTAGCATTACCTTCATAACAAGGGGACTCAGAAATTCACAGCATCTCTCTCGACCAGCAGAACAGCTGGTGCCAAGTAGTTCATTACAAAGACTTTTGTAAATGAAAATCCAAGCGTTTATCTATTTTTGTGTTGTTTAACTGTGATTTTGGCAATTTCCAGACAAAGGAAAATAAGGCTTTATGAAATGTCCTCTTGGGATTGGATATTTTGAAATGCAATTTGCAATCTGTACCTTTATCTGTGCTCAGCTCTGCTTCTTCTGATGATGATAGGCTGGGTACAGCTGTAGGCTTCGTCTCATCTGTAAGAATCCAGGAAATGAGAGACACGTTATTTGTTAGATAATAAACTGATGAACTGGTCAAAATAAAAAAAAAAAAAAGAAAAAGAAAAAAGGATTGTACTCTACCAAGTGATTCCTGTGAGTAGGAAGCAAGATAATAGTATGGGGCTTGATTTTCTGTCCTTCCATCCATTCACGTTGTCCTCTCCAGGCATTACTGGTCTGACTCTCTTCCCTAAACTGGGCTAAAGCTTTCATTATCATACTGCCAAATCAAGTTTGCCTTTCAATTTCCCTTAATAGAAAGGGAGTAACAGCTATCAACTGCACAGGTAGGCAGGTGTTGCTGTCTGCTTTGAGATTCTTATTTTCATTAAACCCATCTATTTTGAGAAAAAACAATTAAGCCTGTTCTTAACTTTAATCATGTCCACGAATCCCACTAGAAATGAAATAATTAAATGCAAACCCTTTCCTAAAAACAGAAGCTTTCCTGAATCAGGCTAAATTTAGTACCTCCCTGAAAATCAGCGGCACAGATTCTTGATGGTAGAACATGCTGATGTAACTAGATATTTCACAGGGAAAAAAAAAAAAAAACTTAATTTAAATGAATCTTTTCACTTTCACTGTTGCTTTTGCTCAGCAAATTTTATAAGCAAAAATCTTTAGGAACATTTGTTCTTACATTTCTTTCAAAAGACTTCCCTCCTATGTTTCCGACAAAAATTATTCCTCCAATAGTCCTATAGTCATACATTTCTTTTTAACTAGTTTAAAACGAGAGCTCTGAATCCCACTTTATTGCTTCCCATGTGTTAACTGTTAAGTTCATTGATGATAATATAGATTTAAAAAAAAAAAATCAGTAACAGTTGAACAACTTCAGGGCAATTCTCACATGCTATAATTGGCTTTTTTATCTATTACATAATATGAATATATGAATCTCTATGTAATGGTCTGGGTAAGAACACATTGTTCCTMATTTTTTTTTCTCCTACATTTTCTTTTACAATATTAAAGTGAAGCTTTTGTGATTTGTCACACTTAGATGAATTCCATGCCTTCTGGTTTAGGAAATACAGCATTCTCAGATAAAGATGTTAATATTTGAGCAGACTACTGCTGACAATTACCACTCATAGTGATTAGAAGCATTTCAGGCATGCGACCGTGGATCTTGCAAAATCAGGTCTTTTCCTACTGCCAAGCACAGGGCAGAGAAACTGCAGTCTCAGAAGGTCCTGATGATGTTTGCTTCCACAATGAGGAAATGGGAATGCAATAGTAATTCATTAGCTTTTTGTTACTAATTGTGTTTCTCTCATAATCACCATGTGAGCCAGTAGGGCTAAGTGTAAAGAAAAAACTTTTTTTTTCTCTCTTTTATACTACTCCTGTGTGTGCTTATGGCTGAGGCGTAACATTATCTTTAGGCATGTACGTATAGGAGCTCCTCAGCTATGATGTTTTCTTGATTTGAGACTTGGAAAGTCTGGATCTTCTCTGTGATGCTCTCCGTGAGAATTACAAGACATGTCTACTAGTATTTGATAATAAAAAACAGCAATGATTATATATTGGGTTTRGCAGTCATAACATAACAGGCCACAAGGACAATTTTGAAAGAAGAGTACAATGCATTCTAGACACSTTCAGCAGCAGAGCAATAATTGAGAGAGGTATATTTTCTTTACTCCTGGGAAAAATGAGACGTAGATCATTTAATCCAGATATTTCCTGAGTCGATATACCTGGGACATATGCATCCCAACAGGAGACAGAGCGCATAGAGCTGACACGTACAGCGGGCTATATTTGGTGCTTGTAGACAGTACCATAATTGGGTTCAGCAGAAACGGGGACGKAAAGAGGAGGTGCTGGGGAGGATGGCACCTATGGAATGGCTTCAAGCACTCAGGGAAGGCAGCAGCAGCTCAGATCCCCTTGCAGCTGACCGGCCTGCAGGACCCCCCGAGAAATCCAGCACCTTCACCTTTGTGGCACCCACTGTGTGGGACCCAAAAAGAAAATAGTTTTATACAAAACTGGTACCCATGCTCTGAGCTAAATATATAGAGGCAACTCCTTGCCCTACTAGKAGGAGAAAAATGTATGAAAAGCATGGTGTTGCATGTAACACCGCAAAAAGAAGCCCCAAGAAATAAGGGCATTTGCAGCTATTTTGACTGTCAYTTCAGCTATTTTCATAACTACTTAATTCCGGTTGTCATTTGCATCGAACAGAATTTGGTAGGATGAAAAATACAGCCAGAAAAAAATAACAGAAAATCTATTTTGAACATTGAGTAGCATTGTATTTTAAAATACTGAGCTTACTAGAGTTACAATATATTTCATAAGCATACAATCTGCTAAATCCATTGCCTGTGAACTCTGACATTTATTCGCAGTATATGTAATATCCTTCTGCATGGATTTAAATCTTCACAACCCCTGAGACTAATGCAGACTATTTACTAAAACCTGAAAATACCTTCAACACATGTTTAAAGATGCATTTTTTAATTAAAAAAGCCTGCTCCCTCCTCCCCCTAGTTTCCTTGCTACACAAAGTGCTACTCTAGTGTGGACACACAGGGAAAGTTATTTCTTTCTCATTAGAGGATTATCTAGAGACATGCCACCTTAAAGAGGGACCGTGGAGCGTGCAACTTAAACAGCAAGGTCTGCATTCCTGCATTGCAATACGGTCATTCATAATGAATGGCACTGGGGTCTCTCCTGGGAGAACTGCACAAGCCCCGAGTTAATCCGGTGAAAATGTACAAACATTTTCAGTCAATAGCATTGACTACAGTTATTGTTCACCAAGGTGGATAAAACCTAAGAAAGTCCTTTAAGGAACTCAGCACAAACCTGCTTCTTGGCTCTGGCCCTCGGTTTCTTCGGTGTTTTGCTTCTTCTCTGGGCTGCTTCCACCTATCATGGAAACCACAAGAAAAAAATTACTTATCGTATATTATTTTATTGATAACAGTGGCAGTAATATTAATTTCACCCAATGCAGCATAAACTGTTAATTGACAGCACGATCCTGCAACAAAAGGGGGGAGCTATAAAGGCAAACTGCAGAACTGGAAACACACAGCTACGTTTAAAGCAGCACTTTTCAAGCTGGGGAAGGGGGGGCTACATGGAAGATTTTACCTCCGCAGATAGAACTGGTTCAAAACACTGAAATGATCTGTACAGCTGCACAACACTAGAATGATCTGTATATGAATAAAGTTATTTCCTTAAGCTCTGTCTACAGTAGGTAAAATTGTTGGTTGCTCTTACTCTATTTATTTTATAATGATGTTTTTCTGGGATTGCTCTCCTCCAGCACCCTTTCCACGAGCCCCTTGCAGCAGCTGTGCTTTGGACACACAGAATCCCTCTCCACAGCTCTGCAGGGTGAGCCTGGGAGGGGAGGGCTGCTGAGGCTTACTTTAAAGCAAAAGACTCAAAGCTCCTTAAAGTACAAAAAAGCATYGCAAATGCCTACAGAGGAGAGAGCAAAATAAACTAGGGTGAGATTGCTAGAATTTAAGAATTTAATGTGTCCTTTTTTTTCTCTCTCTCTTTTTTTTTTTTAACATTTGCATTCATTCCCAATTTCCTCCACTTTCACATTCACATTCACATTCACTACCCATTTTCTTCCCCTTCTGAAGGCGGCTCTCAAACAGCGAATAACCGCTGAGAGAAGTATCCGCTGGGGAAAGCCTGGGGACACGCGCTCAGCCTTTTTTTGGCCCAATTAGAAGAGAATCAAGCAATCTGTCTCATCCAGAGTCAGGAATCCCTGTTCAGCTTCATAAACATGGTCATGGTGGAGGCAGAGCTTGCAGTGTGACCCGTCTCTACTCCCCCTGTGCTGGCACCGCTGAGCATTAACCTTATAGGCACATATATATCCATGCTTGTTTGTCTTCTGTGATCTGTTCTGGCTCCTGGATTGTTCCAAACGCGGCTKCTTCGGCGGAGCAACGTGGGGAAACCCTCTCGTGGGGCTGCAGGAGGGCAGTGATGGCAAGGGAGCAAGCAAGCCCACATGGCGGGAGCCAAGGGGCTCCTTCCCAGGCTGCTGGGCTCCGCTCCGCTCTTAGGGATGGCTCCTCGGGCTCCTGGCGGCAGGCAGTACATCTCGGCATCCAGCAGATGGGACTCGCGGAGAAGCGTTGGCCACGGGGCCCTGCGCGGCGCCGGAGGAGGAGGCCGCCATGGCAGCCCCGCCGCGGCCTGGCTGCCGGGGCCACGGCTGCCGCCTCGGGCCTCACGGCTGCTGTGTAGTGCCCGGCCCCGATCCTGCGGCTGCTTCGCACGCTGGGGAGTCCAACCTGGGCAAGAACTGCCCAAAACGAACCAAAATGATCTCATAAAACCAGCGGGGCTCTATTTTTTCAGTTCTCTTTCAGCCATTCTACCCGTCCACACACGGCACGAGGATGACACACAAAACAGAAAGTTGGCTAGATGAGGAGGCCCTTCCTCCTTTCCCCCTTCCCTTTTCTTTCTAAAACCCAAGTTTGGGCCATTAAAAGCTTAGCGGTGTACCATTAATAAATAAGGAACAAATTCTTCATTGCCCCGGCATATGTCCCACAGGGAATGAGCTCTCCAGCTCAGGAATTGTCCGTAATGCAACGGCGGGAGGATATTTGGAAAATCCTTATCGTTCAGTCAGACCTGAAGAGAACAGTGCTGCTCAATACCCAGTGCCAGCCCTAACTTCATCACAGCCAAGCGCAACACGTTTCAATTCACACAGATGGACTTTACAGTCAGAAAAAGCAAGTCAGGTATAAACAGTATCTACTGATACATCACCAAAAAACATTTCASACGGTGCCAGACCTCATTCACTACACAAATCTACATGCTAGTGATGCTAGATTCCAGATCCATTACAACGGGTATGGCTATAACTGTGCATTATTTGGCTAAAATTGGGTATTTTCGGGCTTCATACTTATTTCAAAGGGATTCCATCTCCTGTAAAGTCACCTTTCAGAGCAAAATTATGCTATAAAAGCAGGTTTAAAGGATCTGTTGCGCTTACRAAGACACTTGGATAGAATAAGGAAGCAATAAAAAAAAAAAGCAAACTAAAAAATTAAGAGTGAACAGGAGATACTCAAATAAATCACCTCCAGTAGTAAGGGTTAAACTTTTACTGGCATAGAGAGTTTCTGCATCTCAGGAGAAAGGGAGGAAGGGGAGTACAAATACACCGATAAGAAAGTAAACCAGCGGATACAACAGCAACTAATCCCTGTACATCTGACAAACACTTTTTTTTTTTCTATTTTMTAAAACCTTTCTAATGAGCTTCTCCCTAAGTGTCTTCTACTGATGAAGAGCCTGTTTGTAATTATTGCTCTCCATCAGAGCTGGGTGCGGAGCAAATGGAAAGGCCTTAAGCAGCCTGTGTTCAGGACAAAGAGCTGCAAATACATTTTAAAATAAGAGTAGCAAGCAAGCTCTTCTGCACATTTTTATTCACCCTGCTTTCCTCTTTTCCAGTCAGAAAAGCCAGATCCAGTGCATTTCCCCTGAGTCTTCCCCATGACATTATTAAGAATAAAAACATCTTTTTCTCTGGATGGCTTCTGTGGTATCTGCCATCCTTCTTTTTACACTACTGCAGAAGTTGGCAATTGCATTTTCTCTAGGTGAAAACTGTCCTCACAGTGTCTATTTTGCCATTATACCAGTAATTGAACAACAATCTGTCACTCACTCCAGAGGAGACGGAAAATGTAGTGTATGACATGTTGTGTCATTTTCGGCCAGCAAATGTAAATGATTTTGAGCCACATCAAAAGACAAATGGGAACATCTGTTTCTTTTCCCCAGCATRGCAGTCAGTTGAAAAAACAGGAGTTTGAGAGCTATGGGAGCAGGATACAAATAAAGTAAGCACATCAGTCACTAAAATACATACTTCTGGCCATTTTGCTTCCCTTTRCCCCGCTGACTGCTGCCTGGTAGGGGCTTGCTCTCCCTTCTCCCTCTTTTTTCCTTTGGGAGCAGCACCCTGACCCCGCTAGAGAAGCAACTCCTGCCCGAGGTATTTAGCATGTATAGACATGGGGCGACTGTGCCAGCAGCCCCCAGATAGAGCAGCTCTCACGATAAATAGGAAGGCAGCAGGTAGCGGGGATGGGGAGGACGCAGGGAGCAAAGGGAAGTCCAGGGGACCATCTCCCAGAGCAGATTCTGCCACAGTTTTGATTTTTTTTTTTTTTTTTTTAAATAGCACAGCTATATTGTCACGGCAATCATATTAATGAGGTAAAGGTCCGGCTAGGATAACAGGGAAACTAATTAATGAGAAAATTAAAAATATAGGCCCTGATCTTACAGCTGCTATGTTCTGCACACATGAGTAGAGATGCTGACTTCAGTGGAACTCCTAACACGAAGGCAAACAGCACGTATGTATCTGGGTATGCACTCAAGATCACATTGCCTGCAAGCATTTTCAGATTATTCCAGTGGTAAAGCGATATCAGACGTAAAACAAAAAAAAAGCACATACAAACAAAAGCCATTACTGCAGAACTACAAATGCATTAAAATGAATCATTCGGGTGGTGGCCTGAGGTTACCAAACATACCCGCTTTGAATTTCAATTTCTTTTAATTAAATTACAATTCAGGTCAGTTTTAATCACTCCTTGTGTATAACCCCTTTCGGGTAAWTTTTAAGAGAGGTTAGTAAAAAATTATCTGTGGTAATAGTTTAATGGGGTTATGAGACTTGCTCCTTCCTTGCTATTGCAAGGATTTACCTCTCTGCAGCAGACCTGCATGCACGGCTACCAACACGCTGAGTGCAGCTACGTAGTCAGCCTAACAAATAACAGGTTTTCATTGTCATGCAGCATTTTGTCAAGAATTGTTGGCCACTGTGGGAAAAGAACGAGAAAACCACAGCTCTTGGGGGATTATCTCAGAGGTTAAAAATAACACTATTGTATTTCACCTATTTATAGTTCTGAGAAACCCAGGAGCCTAATTTGAAGCCCACTGAAGTCAACAGGAGTGTTCCCCTCCCCTTGCTCCTCTGTGGAACAGCACAGCTTCATGTTAAAATTCCTTCCTCCCCTAGCCAGGGAAGTGCCAGGGTGTAAAGTGTGGGTCAAGAGATGTGGCATCCAAGCAGGTGTGTGGAGGAAACAGGCATCAGATTTGCCCAGACTCACTTCATCCATAACACTGCTGAGAAGGTCGCGCTAGACTGCTGTGTTTTGCTGGAAATAATCCTTCTATGTGACATATAGCTTGACTCAGACTTTACAGTACAGAGGCCTGGCATGAGACATCTAAATTTGATTGTAAAAGATGCTGATCATTGCCATTTCTGGCTACCTGCAACTGTTCAGAACAAATGAAAACGGCCGTCTCCTGATTGGCACGCAAAGCCTGACTGCCCAAAACATCCAAAATATGTATGCATCTCATACCCTATCCACCACACACACCCTAAACACCATGCACTGTACATATATAGGGCAACTTACATTTTGATACAGAAAAAGGCACACACAATGCTGCCCAAGTTATCACTGTCATATTATATATGATTGGACAGAGGCTGCTCAAGTGATTTGATGCATGTTGAAGAGCCACCCTTGGTAGAGTTCTGATTGCCAGCTGTACAGGCAGTCCTATCTCAGAGAGGGAGAAGGGACCCCAGGTGTGAATGGATTCAGTACAATCATAAATTTTCTCTTTACTACATCAATTTACTCTTCATTCCTACTTTTTTTGTGCGACTGATAGACTAATGTAACTGCACACCATTCAGGCCTGCAGCAGAGCTGCATTCCTGGTCCACAGTCAAAATAAAACATAAGAAGAGTTATTACATATATTACAGACTTTGCATACAATTGGTGAAGCCACGTGCTGCTGGAATGTGACGAGAC